CTGACCCTTTGCACGTGTTCTTGGAAATAAATAGGGGGAGGGCCTTGGCTGAAGAGGCCATTTTCTCCGCTAGATTTTGGTCTCTCTCCTCCTCTCTAAATGCTGTGTTTCAGGTCTTTCACTGTTATTTATTCTTTTCGCTGTTATTATTTCTTTTGCTGTTATTTATTCTTTCACCTACCGAGCTCAGGAGTGAAAAAGCAAGAGCAACAAATAAGGACACTAATCCCATTTATAAGGGCTCTATCCTTATGGCCTCATCTAATCCTAATTACCTCCCAAAGGTCCCACCTCCTAAAACCATCATACTTGGGGAGAGGGTCAACTTATAAATTTGGAGGGGACATAAAACAGTCCATGACAACTGGTTAACTCTTAAAAGTTCTTTGGAATTCAGCTCAGGCATCACTTCTTGCAGAAAGCCTCTCCTTACATCATTCAGAATTGGTGCTCCTATATGCTTGTTTATGTTATGTGCCTCACTTATAGCAAAACTTTTTATTCTGAATTATGATAGCTTGTCTTATTATAAAATGAGCTAAAAGACAGGGATAATGTAGCGTGTTTGTTGAATGAATGAAATCTGATTCCTCACCTCGTTGCTGTTCCAAATTATCTTCCCCCCCCCCCAAGGGTTACTACTTGATTTCTTTGTCAAATTTGTAATTATAAAGCATAGGTGTTGGACCATAGGAGATTTCCAGCTCTTATTTTCTTATATCAGTTCAGAGTGTCCAAACATTTTATTCAACAAGAGTTTTGCCCATTGACATTTGTGTTGCCTATTATATGCACTGTAACATGGTGTTTCCTTCCATAAACCATTCTCTCTCTTCTGTGGCTAAGCTTGCTAAGTGTGAAGCCTCCATCTAAAAAATCAACTTGTTGGGAAGGGTATGTGGGGGTTTGGACTGTATTTATAGTGTGTTTTTTCTTAAGTTGAGGGAGTATAGAGGGGCATATATCATCTATATACATCTTAAATCTGAAATATTGTATAAAAATATATTCTCTATAAAGAATATAAAGAAAACCAACTTTTCTATGAAAATTTCCTCTAAGTTAAATCTGTACGTAGTCACACTGAATGGAAAAATGTCAGTTATTAAAATACAGATACATAGATATAAAACGTTTTCCTGGCTGGATCTATATGACAGATGGAGACTAGAAATCTTGGGTAATCTATGGGTCTTCACAAGTGAAATCAATTAAGTTTAGAGAAGCTATTTATTGTCAGAGATAAAAAGGTAATTAGCAATTATAAAGCAGTCTATGGAGGCTCTGATTATAATAGAGCAATGGGTGGATTTCTAGGACTTGGCAAACCACCCACCAAGTGGGTGGTTTATATCTTTTTCTTCACAAACATACCTAAATCTCTCACTGAGCAATTTCTGGAATGGAGGGTAGGAAACTTTTGAGCTAATTCATATCACATTCTAATATATCAATTTCCTGAGACAGGATGGCCAGGTTATATATATGAAGCAAGTAGACTGAAAAACAGCAAATGAGTGACAGCCTGGATGATCTTTTCTCAAATTAATATCCTCATGCAAGAATCTTTCCTTTCTGTTGCTTCTTTCTGTAACGATGACACCCACAAAGAGAAAAATAAGTGCTTTTCTCTAGTTAAAAATTTACATTACTTGTACTAGTTAAGTATCAGTGAAAACTGTCCTTATTTTACCCAGTAGAGAAAGCTATAAGTTTACAAGGTGAGAAAAATTTCTCCCCTATTTGAATGCTGTGAAATATATTTTTAAAAGTGTCAGAGGGAGGGAAGGCAGTTTGCAGGCTCACACATTGGACTTCCATATTTCTGCTATCACAAGTAGTCATTTTTGAGCAACATGGTTGTTGTTGGTAGAACTGAGGGGACCTCACTAATTTAAAAACTGTTAATAAGTAGGTCATATCCCACTACAACAAATATTACTCCATAGAAAAACTCTGCAGTTTTTTCCAGGATTCAAGCACTAATTACTTCATTTCACAAAATAACAATTTGATAAAAGAAAAACCCTAGTAAAGAGACTTGAGAATTACTCGAAACCCTTTTAAATAGACTCAACTCCTTTATTTAGCTAGCACGGCAAACTATAATAAACTACTAGCATAGCTATTTTACTGGAGGGTTTGTTTGCATGTAGGTATCCTATATCAGGAGGTACAACTTGTACTTAAATTTAATCAGTACTGGCTTCAGAATTGTCATGAGAGGCTGGAGGAGGTTCTAGGTTGGGCCTTGGGAATCTGCATTTTAACAAGTACCTCAGGTGATTTTTGTTCCACATGTTGGGAAAACCCTTAGAGAATAACTCTTAATAATGCTCAACTGGAAATTTGTTTTCATTACGAAGGGCACAAAACAAGCGAAACTATCACAAGAGAGTTGCTCAGTTTGGCATGGTTGACAAAGGGCAATGGGTTCTTTTTGAAATATTAAGTTGACTGGAATCAAACCTAGTTGTGAATCTAGGTTTTTCATTTGTTCCACTGAATAGTCTTTGAAGTATTTATTACCTATGAATTATTTTGGGCCTTTAAAAAATCAATTCTCAAAAATTATGTGGAAATGTTCCTCTGCTTACAGAGTTTTTATGTCATTAGTGATTTGTGGTGCAGAGTTAAGTTTTCCTTGTTAAAGAATGACTCCATCGATCTAGCAGCTTATTCAGGTGTTCTCAAGCATGGCTGCATATCAAATTACTGGTGGATCTTCGTAAACCTATAGCTGTTTGGGCCCCATTCCTCATTCCAATCAGATCTCCAGGCACAGGGCCCCACAATCTATTTCCTTAAATACTTACCTTGCAGCTAGGCTTGAGAACGACTAGTTTAATGATAGCAAAAACTTTCTTTGATGCTTTCAATCCTATTTTCCTTGCTAAGATGTTTCTTTACTCTTGCCATAGTCAGAACCATTGTTGTGATAGATTCAGTATGTTCCCTGTAACTCTGAATTTTATACAATGCCATCTCTGGTAGGAGCAACGTGATAAACAATGTCTGAGATTGTTAAGTGGGCTTCACTTCTGGGGCTGAGAAGCCAGAGAGGCCTAAGACACCCTGACAAGGGTGAAATTTTCTCTAAGTGGCAGTTTGATCACCTTGATGAATAGTGAGAGACAACTGCTTGAAGCAGTGTTATACCTGATCAGAAGAAAGTTTGAGAATTTGGCACTTAAGACTCTTGAATCACCTTAGTAACACAATTGGGCAATAAGAGCTTGGCTATGCTGAACAACAAAGGTTCTAGCTGGCCTAGTCTGAAAACACTAAGGCTTTAGGTCAAGTTTGAAAGATGGGAGAGGCATTGGGCTTCCTGACTTGACTGTGTAATTGCTGGCAAGAATATGTGGACAATTTTTAAGATCTCTAACGCAGACTATCTTACGGACTCTTTGGCTTACACCTGAATTGCCCAAGTTGCTGTGACCATGTTTTTTTTTCACATGCTTCTTTTTGAGCTTGCCTGTGTAGTTCTATGACAGTAAGTTTCCAGAAAGAAAGCAGGGATCACTTGTGTCGCCACTCTGGCCAAGAGTCTAGCACAGTCATACCTGCCCAATACTTTCGGATGAACCCAGAACTAGTGTTCTCTTTGAGCCTTTTCTCTCTCCACTTCTGGTTTCTACACTCCGATCACCAAACTGGCACAGGTGCTGCTCCACAGCCTAAGGGCGAGAAATGTGGAAATCGCCCCTTCCGTCAGCTGGCGCCCAAACTACAAGCCTCGCAGAACGCCCCATGCTTAGTCAGTCACTGGAATGCTTTCCATCACCAGAGGAAGGACAAGAAAGGTCGCAAAACTTTCAGATAACATGGAGCAGAGGCTAAAGCCAACCTTTCCCGACAGGGGCTATTCAAAGCGTGGTCCTCAGACCAGGAGCATCCTCATCACACCTGGGAGCCTGCTACAATCGTGGAATCCTGGGTACCTACCCCAGACTTTGCATCAGAATCCGTAGTTTAAAAAGATACCTAGGTGATCCTTACTTGTATTAAAATTTGAGAAATCAATTGATCTGGTTACTGATCAACTGAGTGCCTCTCAACCCCCAGAAAACAGAGCTCAACCCTTTGTGCCCACCCCGCACCCGCTCGGCTTGGCAACAACCGAACCCCCCAGGGACATCGGAGCGGGCGCTGCCGAGGGCAATTTGGTGATTGGCTGGTCTGGCCACGTGACTGGCGCTGGGCCTTCCGTGCGACCGGATTGGCTCTCGTGCACGCTGACGGACAGGGCCGGGGCGGGCCAGAGCCGGGTCGGAGGGGCGCGCGCGGGGGCCGGAGGGGCGAAGGCGCGAGAGCGCGTGCGCGAGCGGCGGGGCTTTCTCCGTAGCCGTCGGAGGGAGCCGGAGCGCTTCTCCAGAGGTAAGCCGCGCCGCGGGGCGGCTCCTGGCGTCCCTCGCGTGCCGGGTCCCAGTGAGCGGCTTGAGCAGGGCTGGGCGGGGCAGGGGGAGGTCTGGGGTCCGCCTGCCTGCGGAGCCCCGCTTCAGCAAGGATGCAGTCCCGGCTCAGCCACCCGCCTCGTTGCCTCGGTTTCCCCTTTCCTACCCTCTGATGCACCTCCCCATCCTCTCCACCGCGGCGACGGGTCTGCCCGAGGGGAGTTACCCACCTGGCAGCCTTGCCTCCGCCTTTGTTTCCCGCCTGGAGGGATGCTGGCAGCAGCCCCCTCCCCAGGTAAAGGGTGCGGGTGGTGGGGCGGGGATGTCACGGGCGCTGGACCCGAGCTTGGGCCGAGGAGGAGGTGGCTTTCATGCCGTGGGACCTGTCACATGGGAGAATGAGGGAAAAGAAATGTAGTGTCACTTTGGCCGAGTGAGCCGGTGGGGCTCGAACTAATCCGGCGGCTGCGAGCGAGCCGATTCCTAGCGCAGCTGTGCGAGGAGCCCGTCCGGCTTGGTGCGGGCGGGTGGGCGGCATCCCCAGTGGACTGAGCCCCGACGCTGCCCGGAGGCGGCTTCTCGCCCGCTGGACCTGCACACCAGCTCTCACCCCAGAGTTTCACCGCGATTGAATGCTTTGAGCCTGCCAAAGGAATCCAGAGATTCGTTAAGAGGCTAAGAATTTTTTTAAAAAAGCACTTGGGCACTGGTGGAGCAGGTCTAAATGAGAGGCTACAAAAAGGAATTACAGATACAGTGTAACTGATGACTGGTAAATGGTGAGGAGGGAAATGCCTGCAGTGAACTGCAGACTAGACCACCACACTGAGATTCTTCTTCTAGAAGATAAGATTTTTGAGGGGAGAGGGTGGTGATTCCTGTAAACTGTGGTTTGAAAGGGGCTGCCCAAGTGGGTGATTATTTTCAGCATGTTAATGGGCTGTAGATAGAGGGAAGGCAGAATCTAAATCAAACCTATTCAAACCTTAATTCTTTGAAAAGTGTGTGTTTAAAGACCATTTGACTGCCAAAAGAGGTGTGTGTTGGAGGGTTGGGGACAGCGATGTCGCCTTTATATCATACTTTAAAAAGGGGAGGGTGTGTCCAGGAGCTTAAGAGCAAGTAAAACTGTGCAAGGTATTCCCTGCCTCTCCTCCATTTCTCCAGACCTGCAATAGCAAGGGCATATTGTACGTCTTACAGTGAAACAACATAAAAGGTCCTTTCAGTTAACTAACTTGTTAATTTGTTGGATATACCTGGTAATATCAGTAAGAAATGGTTCAGCTGCCATTATAAAGACGTTCCCAAAATCTGGAGTTCCAGTGTAATTCATCCAGAACTTATTCTGATATGAAATGGGCAAGGATCTCTCTACCTGACTCCTCCAAAACGTTCTGTTACTACTTAAAAGCCCTTTTGTTACTCTTACCCTCACCTACAGTTAAGTTTCTTTAGGAAATAAGATGATTTCAAACATCTAAAACATACATACCCCAGGCCAGTGAAATCAATTTACTAGGCAAGTTAATTTTTTCTTTAAAAGAAACACTTAAACCGGAATTTGATCCCCCTAACAAGTTTATCAGCTGCAGTAAGTCAACTTTTGATGGTTTTTTGAGATGAATGAAAGCAAAAGAACTTGCTGAAAAGCTCATTGGGAATATTGCAGATGACCTTAGTAAAATATAGGTTGTCACCTGATAGATTGGAACACAAATTAGAATAATTTAAAACTTGTTTAGTGATTTTTTTTTTTTTTAAGCTGGTATGCAGTGGAGGGGAGGAGGCAATTCTGAGGGGTGAGGTAGGTGGTATAGTTCTAAAAAGTATACATTTTTATTTTTAGAAAACTGTCATTTTGTTACATAAACTACACAAAGGGCTTGCAATGCTTATATTTAGTCTGTGGAAGGGAGATGGGTTTTGAAAAGGTTGAGAAACACTGATTAGGTTATGCAACGGTCAACAGGAAGATTGGCAGGCTTAGTTCATCTTGAGGGAAGCAACATACCTCAGTGACCTATAGGACAAGGTTTTGTTCTCTGATTCAATAGAAGCCCACTAGTGTTGCTTTCAAAGCAACAATGAAATCATTTCCTTTCTGTCATTTTTTATCCCCTGGGTCACAGGCGGGGAGGATGGAGAGTGAACGAGAGAGATTAGAGTCCGACCTGCATGCCTAAGCAGTAGTGTCCTTTGAGGAGGATCTGTGTCACATTGTGTAAAATATAAGAGCTTTCACGTTGAGAGGGGTCTGAGCTCCTTCCTTTAAGACACATGCTGTAAGATAGAACTGGATAACAGTGCCACAGGTGGGGGGCACTGGGTGAGATCATCTGATAGGGAAAGAGGACAGCCAGGAAATGTTTAAATCAGTGGGGCTCTGCTTGCCTTTAGAGCCTTGAGGAGGCATTTCCAGGCAGCGCTGCCTCAATATTGGCTAGCCTGACTGGGTTTTCTGTGGCTTCCAGAGGACCTGCCATTCACACGGTGGAGGCTCCTGTGGAGGTTGCATGTCTCGGCTTGTAAGTATCAGTTGTGCTTGTAATGTGTTCTCGAAAAGAAAGGGTTACAAAAACCTAAATCTAGGCTGCGGTTCTTTCGGGTCTTTTGCTCCAGCCACTCACAGGCTTCCAGAAAACAAGTTGTACCCTCCCTACCAGTAGATGGCACTGCTGCCTCTGGGAATTCCTGGAGGCGAAGCATGCTGGAGCTGGCGGAAGCCCACCAGTGATTAGCCCGGGGTCTAGAAAATTTTTGACTGGGAGCTGACACACAGCCTTTCAGGAGAATGTCAAAATAGTTCTGAAGGCCATAACTGTTTATATAAGGTAGGAATAATGTGTGGTGTGGGGATTGAGGAATGGCTTTTGATTACTTTGCACTCGTATGTGTGCTTCTGAGGGGAGAAGGCAGAGAATAAACTGACAATTAAGCATCACAGTATAAGGCTTTAGAAGCACTTGGCATACCTGTTGGTTAATTAAACAGGATAGTCAAATCATTCCATCAACATTTCCAACAACTTCTTTGTTTCTAGTTATTTGTATGTAAAGCTAGTCTGCACACATGGGTGGGGTGATGGAGATGTACATGTGATTTAAATCTGAGCCAGCAATTACATGCTCTGAAGACAGCATTAATTTTACTAATACTCTCACTGCTAACGAAGTAGTCAAGTATATCTTAAGGCTGTCCACAGAAGACAGGTTAAAGTTACACTGAACTGTTCTAAAACTTGAAAATTCCCAACAAGTGTTTAAATTTTCTTAGCTGATGTTGACCCTTCAAGATTGTATTGATAGCCCAAAACTTGAAGCTTGCTTTTATTGACCTTATTAGCCAGGATTCATTCATTCATCCTCCTCTTTTGAAATAACTATTCTTTGACTGCTAATCACTGTTCTTTGAGATGAATTTTGAGAACACGAAATGTGAGAAACGTGAGTGATTTGCCAGTGATGGGGAAGTTACAGTGCATCATGAGGGCCTTAGCTTTGACTCTGGGTGCTGTTACCCCAGTCACCTGCTTCCTTGTGCATTTCCCATCCTCTGGAGGGGCTTATTTGAGGTTTATTTCTGTCTCTCTTAAAATGAATCGATGAGCTGGTTTTTACTACCAAGGCCGAATCCTAAAATCCTGCTGGTGCTCTATATAGAGGTAGTCACAACAGTCCATTAATGTTACCTCATTATGTGACCACAGATAAATCTCTTCACCTTTCTGAACCTTATTTTGCTCACCTGTTCTCTGTGATTGGCGAACTAGTTAGGTGTCTCTTAAAATCTCTTCCAAGTCTGAAGTTCTATGATCAGGTGATTTTCATAAGGTATTTCTGAAGCCTCTGAAAAATTCTCATTTAGAAGGTATTTTCACTCTGAGAGGCTAGGTCAAAAAGAAATCTTGCTAATATTTCTTCCCAGAAAAATGATTATGTATTGTCTTCGAGTCCTAACAGTTCACAGTAGGAAAAAACCCTTTATGGTTTAACTTAACCTTCTCAATATATAGACAGGGAGTTTGAACTTAGAGCTGAGTGACTAGACCAGCCTAACAGAGCTAATTATTGGCTCAGAACTAGTTGAAAGACTGGGAGCCAAGCTCAGGACTCTACACAGTCTTCCTTTCTCCAATGCTGCCATTTTTCACCTGTCATCATGTCACAGAATGTGCTGTGTCTACAGGGTTGGGGCCAAGAAAATTCTCTGAGTGATTCCTTAATGTAGGATTTTAAAGCCACAGCATGAATTGCTTTGAGTTTTGGCAGAAATTCAAGGTCAGGCTTCGCTATGCAGCACATTCTTTTCTTCATTAACTGACTGAGCAGGATTCTTTACTGTGTGTCTTTAGAGTTTTTAAAACTTTTCTGTGTTTCCTGTAAGAAGAAACATTCGTCATCCTATGAGTCATCCTCCAATCAGATGTTCTGAAATTGGGTCTGTGGACTCCCCAAGGTCTGTGTGGATAGAAGAGTATTTCCATATAATTCACTTCCTTTGTAATAGAATGTGTTTTGTCTTATACATTTAATATTCTGAGGAGGGAGTGCTTAGGCTTCAACGGACTACCAAAGGGGACTATGGCACAAAAATAGACTAGAATTCTAGAGTCAGTTCTGGAAAATTGCCAGGATGAGAGTGTTCTTGACTGAAGAGCTAAAGATGTTATGGTGGAAGAGGAGAGTACAGAAGTAAACCTGTGGAGGAGGTTAGGAACATTTCAAAATACTTTACATGCCAGAGATTTAAAAAAAATCTTTATATTCCTTTACTTGTACTCAGATTTCACCATGTAAGTCACTGCTTCTCCTCAGCTATTTATTTTATTTCCCTTTTCTATTTGCAACCCCAAGTTCTCTAACTGTCCTCAAATAGGAGTGACTTAGAGTTTGCATATGTTTAAAACAAAAATTCTTGTTTTTGACAGAAGGTATACAGAAGTTATTTCCTGTGTTCAAGTCACATTTTGGACATGGGAGACATAACTTTGGGGATCATTGCATTTTGAACATTTTGCTTGAAATCTCTTGCTTTGTGTCCCATGACACCTTGCCTACGTTTGGTACCATGGCGACCCATGCTGGAATATCACCTTCTGGTACATTTTTGGGTGGGCCAGAATAATGTTCTTGCTTTAGCAATAAGGTTATAGTTGGGTTTATAGCATAACTCATTATGTTAGGTACTAAAGAAGTCCAATTTCTACGTTCTAATCCTAGCGCCTTACTAAGTTGTTATGAGATTTTAGGGGCATCACTGACTTCTGAGTTTGTTTCCTTGGAAAATAAGGGGAAAGAGTAGTGGCCGATTAAATTCTTTCCTGATCTGAAATCAGGTGACCATAAAATTCTGATGCTCAAGCTAAATATATCCTAAAAATGAATTTGGGAATTCATTTATAATCAGTCAAGGAGGTGGGTGCTAGGATAATTCTTTTTCTGCAAATCACGTTGTGATTTATGTAGTATTCTCTAACCCTTTCTCTTTTCTGCTCAAAGCATGTCCAGTGGGCAGGTGCATGAGTATCACCTGGGAGCTTGTTAGACACGCAGAATCTCAGGCCTCACCCATGACCTACCAAATCGGAATATGTATTTTTTTTTTTTCAAGATGCATAGAGGATGTGCATGCACGTTAAAGTCTGAGAAGTACTGCTTTCTTTCATTTTGAGTCTTACATTGACTCTGTAAGAGAGGCAGGGTATTTTACAGATGGCGAAGCCGAGACTCAGAGTAGTTAAGGTTACTGTGTTAGTGTATCATCCAAAATGCGTGTAGCATTTTGTAAACCTAATGGTGTCTCTTTGGTTGGTCTGGAGTCAGCTTTGTACAATGGAGACTACTTGCTGCCCTGTAGCCCATGGGATTAGGTGTGGCTATGTGATTGGGTTTTAGCCAACCAACAGAAAATGAGTGAAAGTAGAAAATCATGATCCACTTCTAGGAACAAACAAAACAACACACACACACACACAGACACACACACACACACAGCACCCATGCAAGCTCCTTCATGCTGTTTTTCCATTCCTAGCTGGCGGGAATGGAGAGGACCCTTAAGGGCATCCTTGGAAATTATATTTGAAAGATGGCAGCCTAGGTGCCTTGATCACTGCCTCAAGGCCATCACTGACTGGCATGCCTACCTGTCCAGCATGCAAACAGGAACCAGAAATAAACTTGTATTGAGCTTGAGCCATTATATATCTTTGGGTCTATGCATTTAAGCACTTAGCCTACTCTAACAAATTCACTTGAGGAGTGGCTTGGGACTTGAAGTTTGGTCGTTTAGCCTGATGCATTCGTTTTTGTCTTTGGCAGTTGCTGATTGATTGGTGGTGTGTCCAACATGCAAGTGAGCAAGCGGTGAAAAGCAGCAGAGCTGATGGGTTGTGAGGATGTGAATGGGTTTGAAGGCTTCCACACCCTCTACTCCAGGGTAAGGCAGAGGCATTCTCTACTGTTGTTTATTCGGCTTTGCCAAGTCCTAGAGGCTTTTGTCTCACCAGTCTCTTGGAGTCAGTGCAATGAGAACTGTTCTCCCAGAGCCTTTATAGATTCAAGTCATAGACACCATGCAAATCCAATTACAAAGAGAAAACCATGATCCAAAGTGATGAGATAGGATCTGTGCATGGAAATAACACAGGAATTGGTGGAGAATCTGTATAGGATGTGATTTATATAGAAGGGGTTGTTGAACCTTCTTGTATTGCACTGTAGAGAAGGAAACTGGGGCTGATCATCATTTTCCTGTAGCCTATCATATTAGCTCTGCTGGCTCATATTTCCCTCTCCCACCATCTCTATTCTTCACTGGTCACTCTGCTTAACTTTTCCTTCACTAATCACTTTTTCTAATGAAGGAAATAACTCCTCAGAGTTGAAAGCCCCAGTTTAGTGGATAATGGCACTAACTAGCGAAGCACATGGTTCTGCCTATTCCATTTTATCCAGCATCTCTGGGAGTCACATGCCCATTCTCTCCTCATCTATTTGCAGCCCCTTGTGTGATGCATATAGGCATCAGGAACATCATAACTGAAGCTATGATTAATATAAATCTAAGCAGAGCTAAGGATAGTTAGGAAAGAGAGACAGGAGGTTAAAAAAAAAGTACTCAGCTGAAAACTGGAGAGTTATTTTAAGCAACTTGGCTCAATGCTGTCGAACCTTTGCTAGATAATTTTCCATTACCAAGGCATAGTCAGAGGGCACCCAGAAAGGCTGATATCCTTAGGTGCCTCACATGGTCAGTAGTGAGTATAGTTTATTGAATAAAATGGACAACTGGGGGATGCAGATCTTTGGAGATTCCAATAAGTGTATGTCATAATTGCTGTGGAGTACTTGGAGGTAATCAAAGCAGGGAAAGGGCAGCTGCAAAGCACATCAATGATGGAAGAGTCCAGGTGAGCAGCCAGGTGCAGACTCAGGCCTGGAGGTTGCTAAGGAAAAGATCTGAGCTTTGCCAGGCTTTTTCATTAAAAGAAAGGAGCTGGGCTTTGCTAACTGTCCTCAATTTCCTCTAGAGATCCCGTATAGTCTCTATTTTAAAAGTAACTAAAAAGTATAGCATGACAGAAATAGCACTTGACTGGCATATTTTTTGTGTAAAGACTGTATAAGGATTAAATTGTAGAGGGAACCATTCTTTATTGATTATGGGCCAAAGAAAGTAAAGCTAGAGATGCCAGTGGACCAGGGCTTCTTAACCTTGCACTATTGATATTTTGAGTCAGGATATTCTTGTGTGGACTATTCTGTGCGTTATATAATAGTATGTTCAGCAGTGTCCTTGGCCTCTACCCACAAATGCTAGTAGCTCCCCCTACAGTTGTGATAATCAAAAATGTCTCCAGACATTGCCACATGACCCCTAGGAAGCAAAATTTCCTTGGTTAAGAACCTCTGCTGAAGGAATACAATGATTTAATCTTGTTGTGAGTTTCTCTGATACTGAATTTTAATCATTTAACTTCATTTTCCTTACCTGTAAAGAAGACACATATTAATAAGTCAGTAGCCTAAAGAAATCATGTACATAGTATCGTGACTACTTGAGGACTCTATAAGTGCTGAGAAACAGTACCTGTCCCCCCAAATTTCTAGAACCTGTTCTCCCAAACTTCTAGGATCACTCTTGATCTTTGTGTTAGCAATAATGGAGGAACAGTGGGAGTTTGAAAAACGGCAAAGGTTAGTGATATGTGAAACAATGAACAGTACTAGAGTCTGAGTTCATTCAAAGCATCATGTTCTGATTCATCATGACAGTATATTCTGGATAAAGGCTTTTCTTTGCAAAGTTAAGAAAGGGAAAAGTGGATGAAGCAGAAAGAAGGCTGTTCCTAAGAGCAGTAAAGAAAAATTGCATTTGGGTGATTAAGGGTAATCTTTTAATGTTAAAAGGAACCAAGGAAAAATAAAACAAAAGAAAAAAAAAAACAACCCCCGAAAAAAAAAAAACCCCCCAAAATAACGCCGGGCCCCAACAAGTTTTAAAAAAAAAAAAAAAAAAAACAAAAAAAGGTTGGAAAAAAAAGCCTTTAATCCAAAAACCTTTACATTTCTATTTTTTCTCTTTGGGAATATGGAAAGGGATTATCTTCAATATATGCCTATTGAGTGATAAATAAGATCTTTTAATATGGCATGTGTTCTTTTAACACTTTTCTAGTACTATGTATTGGGATAATAAATAGGCCATAACTGACCTAGACCTGAAGTAATCCACATTATTTTAATAGAAAGCCTCAGTTCAACTTGAAAACAGGGCCAGTGCAGGGATTAGATGTAAACTGTCCCAGCAGGTTTGAGTTACCCCTTGCTGTGTTTCTGGTCCTGTGATTATTAGACTCACAAATTTTACAACAAATATACTCTATCTTGGATCTAATATATGGAGAACCCATCATAGATAGTTTGCTTTATTTATTTGCATTCTGTCATACATTTATAGTCCTAGATGTTAAGCAAAACTTTTAAGAATGTTTGAGAAGGATTCCATGTACCATGAAGAAAGTGGTACTCCAGTGTTAGAAGAAAGGAGACAAATGAAAGAAGCTCCACTTTGGTAGGAGTAGGCTGGTATTTGAATGCTGAAGTTTTTATTCTAGTGCTATTCAGAGTGTGTCTCCTGTACCAGCAGCATCAGAATTATTTGTACTTGTTAGAAATGTACAGATCTACTGAATCAGATTTCTGGGAGTGGCCCTAATAATCTGTTTGAACAAGACCCCCAGGTGATCCTGATGGATGCTAAAATTTGAGAAGCACTACTATCTAGTGGTTTCTAATGTAGTGCCATCTTTGCCATCTTACAGATTGTGTCTGTGAGTTTGTGGTGGCGAGGACGCTGAGAAAGTATTCTTTCAGGTGATCAGAATATACATGAGGTTTCCTTTGATAACCTCTTGCATCATTTTCCCAAACCATGGTCTAAGCCTTTTCCTGCATTGCCCAATACAGTAGCCATTAGTCACATGTGGCTATTTATATTTAAATTAATTAAAACTAAATAAAAATTCAGTTCTTCATTTACACTAGCCACATTCAAGTGGTCTGTAGTTACATGTTCTTAATGACTACTGTATTGGACAGTGCAGATACAGAGCATGCCCATCAGAGAAAGTTCTATTGGACAGCACTGCTTTTGCCTATGAAGACCCTTGTTTGTTAGAAACCCACGGTTGTAGTAACAGTGTGTTCTTATTAATATTAATATAACAAGGCCTCAACTCATTTAAAACAGAGTTGAATTTTGGGCTTTTCTATTCTAGGGAGGCTTTCAGTCTGAGTATATCTTGCTGAGCTTTTTACTTTGCTGTGGCATCTGTCTGCCATGGGTCCATCTCTTACATTATTGAATGCTCTGCTTCCAAAATGTTTGTCCTTCAATCCAGGGCTGCTGAGCTGTCTCTATTTGCTTTTTCTCTTCCCTGACCCTTGGTGGTGAGGCTTGTTTGTGCAAGATGTCTCTTTTGATACTGCCAAGAGTTTGGAAGAGGTGGCAAGAGAATTTTCACCTCCTTGTTTTCCAAGCTCCAGCTTGGCTCAAAAAAGTGTTTCATAAGAGGGTATTAATTCACAAGCTTAATCTCTGCCGAGTTTATCCCCTGAAGAATTAGTCTCTAAAGTAAATTTTCTAACAGACATATTACAGCACAGATTTGGTAATTAAGCCCTTTAGCAACATGGAAAAATTTTTGGTTGATATTATCTATTAACAACATTAGTTGCTCAGAAATTATAATTAGAACAAATGAAAAGATGTGTCAGGTGGTGCAAAGACAATTTATGTAACCAAAGCATTTGTACCCCTGTAATACTCTAAAATGAAATAAATTAAAATATTTTTTATTAAAAATATTTTTCCAGTTAAAAAAAATGTGGAAATATAAACAGAATTTTTAAAAGATGTAATTTAAAGTTAACTGAACCCAAGATTGTTTTGCATGGTAGAGGGAATGAGAATGAGGACCTTGTGGCAGTCAGTATTAATATTTTGCTGGAGGTGAGGGGAAGAAAGTGGAGGGAGCCTAGCATTGATTCTTGAGGAGCCTTAATTCTACTGATTGACTTCTGATTGTGTGTATTGCTTGTTTCCTTCCTGCCTTTCTCCGTCTTTATTAAAAAGACTTCATTTGTTTGTTTGAACAGTTTTAGATTCAAGCAAAATTGAGAGGGAGGTATAGATTTATCATATACCCTCCTGCTCCCACACATGCATAGCCTCCTCTCATTATCAACATCCACCAGAATGGCACATTTGTTACAATCGATGAACTCACATTGACATATCATCACCCAAAGTCCGTAGTTTACATTAGGATTCACTCTTAGTGTGGTACATTCTTTGGGTTTGGACCAATGTATTTTCACTGTGCTAAAAATCCTCTATGCTCTGCCTTTTCATATCTTCCTCCCCTCCACCCTCCAAGTCCTGTCAACCACTGATCTTTTTACTGTCTCCATAATTTTGCCTTTACCAAAATGTCATATTGGAATCATACAATATTTAGCCTTTTCAAATTGACTTCTTTCAGTTAGTAGTATGCATTTTTTTCTTCCATGTCTTTCATGATTTGATAGCTCATTTGTTTTTAGCAATGAATAACTTATTCACCTACTAAAGCATGCCTTGGTTGCTTCTAATGCTTTGGAGATTATGAATAAAGCTGCTATGAATATCTATGTGCAAGTTTTTGTGTGGACATAAGTTCTCAACTCCTTTGGATAAATACCAAGGAGCATGATTGCTGCATCATATGGTAAGAGCATGTTTTGTTTTATAAGAAGCTGCCAAACTGTCTTTAAAAATGGCCACTGTCATTTTGCATTCCCACCAGCAATAAATCAGAGTTCCTGTTGCTCCATATCCACACCAGCATTTGGTGTTGTCAGTGTTCCAGATTTTGGCCATTCTATTAGATGCAT